TCGCACGCCCCCCCCGCACCCGGAGGCCAGCCGCTCCTGGGCCTGCGGCTCTGCCCCCTTCCTGCCCTGCGCTCACTGGGGCAGGGTTTGGCTCGAACCCTGCGACAGCCCCCAGGTCCCAGCCCCGGCGGGCAGAGCTGCCCTGGTTACACAAGTCTCCATGGCAATGAACCAGCTGCCCCAGCCAGGCAGGGGCCAGAGCCTGAGACATACTGTGGCCGCCCAGCCAGGCCTGCAGAATCCCCGGGCAGCCCAGGCCTGACGTTCCTGAGACTTACACTGTGAGCAGGTAGCAAGAAAACCCACAGACCGTTCATAGAGAAGCAAAACCTCTTTGTGGGCCCTTTTAGAGCAGGAAGGCCATGGCTGGGGGAGATGGAAGGGGGTTTACAGGCACCTGCTGCAGTGCAGAGGGGCTGGGGCTTTCCCCAGGGGCCTGGAACTGAAAGATTCAGCTCAGTCTCAGTGGGAAGGGATGGCACAAATACCCCAGCGGGCTACATGGGTCTGTCTGGGGGGCAGGAGAACTGGGCATCAGCCTACGGGAACAGGACGTGCCCCCCGTTTACAGACGGTATTGTCCTGTGCACAGAGAGGGGGCAGCCACATTTTTCTGTCTCCTAGCCCAGGCCTGGTGTCTGGAGCCCTAACTTCACTCTACCAGAGCGGGTGGCATTTAATTCCTGTTGCTGGTGGGGATGTTGGGGGGGGAGGGGAGCTGCCTAACCCTTCCCATGATCAGACAGTCTTGCCGTGTTTGCTCTGGGCTGCTCCCACCTCCACTGTGCAGTGGGGCTTTGATCCGCCCCAGGTCGCAGAATCTGCTTTTCTTTGATCCATCCCATCCCAGAAGCTGGGACGCAAGCCCCTGGTTTCCAGTCTCTTCTCAGCTGCAGACCCCAACATGTCTCCAATGGCGGAACAGACCCTGTTGGAAATCCCAGAGCCTCTGCAGCCTGCCAGGGTCCATGGGGCACAGGCAGCAAACCCCTGTCCTGTGGGAACCGCTCCCAGGCCCAGACACCTTTCACATGGTTCGCTGACCCCTATTTGTCCTCTGGCTGCAGGGGAAACCACGGGGCTAAACAGTTCGAAATGGTCCCCGTTCGCCTTCCGCACTCGCCTTCCCGCCAGACTGTCCCTGAGCAGGAGCATTCCCGGGCGCCAGGCTCACGCTGCCCCCGCAAAGCCAGCGCCTGTCCTGGGAGCTGCTCTAGCTGGCGCGGGGAGGGGGCTTCCCTCACTGGGCACGGCCCTTGGCTCCGACTGCCCATGGCAGCTGTGAGTGATCACCTGGCGCAGGACCTCTGACCCCCACCCCCACAGCCAAACAGCCCCTCAGCCACCCAGGCCAACACCCTTCTCTTGCTGCAGCTGAATGTAACGCTGTGGCTCACGTGCCAGCAGCCTGCGCCGACCGGTGCCACCCGGCGCCCCTGCACAACAGGCGCATGACGGGATGCTCGGTAAATGGGGGACACTGGAAGCAGCGGGACGCTCTGGGTGCGGGGCTGGAGCCTGAGTTCACCTGGGAAGGTGCCAGGCCCAGGGCTGGCTCGGCAGGACCTCAGCCTTAGAGACAACTGGAACCCGCGGAGCAGACCCAACGGAGGCAGCACAAGAGCAGCGGGTCCCTGCCCAGCGCCCGGGGGCTCAGGTCCCACCTCCCAGGGTTCCCTCTACTGGGGGCTCTGAGCACTGGCCGTGGGCCCCTGGCGGTTCCTGGAGTCTCTTCAGTCTGTGTGGAGGGGAGGCAGGCAGTGATGCCGCCGTGTTCTCTAGCCCCTCAGACAGGAGGCTCACAAGGCCGGGGCAGGCGGGGGCTGCCCCCAGTGGATGTGACGAAGCCCGGCTGAACCCGGCTGGTTCGTGTGCTCTCGGCCCTGGCGAATTAGCTTCATTTTCTGAGCAGAATCCTAATTTCCTGCCCATCCCCCGACTTGCACTAAATCCTGTTTGGTAATTTCTTGTGCCCCTGCTCTGTGTAGCTCCTCCCCAGTGAGAGCCATGGCTGCCTGTCACCAACGCCCTCATGAGCTGGCCCCATAGGAACGGGCCTGATCCCATCCCTGGGTGTGCGCAGGGCTCCCCCTGAGGTGTGGGCAGGGCCCCCCCATCACCCTAATTAACAGCATCTCGGCATTTCCGTGTGGGCCCTGCTGGCAGCCTGGTGCCCACTCGCCTGCTGCTGGGAACTTTTCCCTCTTTGCGTGGCCAGAAAGGCTGGAAGTGAGCAGCCCTGGGGCTCTGGGAGCAGGAGGAAGGCGCTAACCCAGCCTGTGAAGGGTCCCCCGTCGGTGGGTGGGCCACCGCTGACTCTGGGGTGCCCACAAGTCTGTGTGACACGCCTTGGCCTCGCCGTTGGCCGAGCGACAGTCCCCTACGGCCCAGCCTGGGACAGGGCACCAGGCAGTGGGGGAACACAGGTAATTTACAGATACAGTTTAAGGCACGGCCCTGGGTCACGGCGACAAGCAACAGTGGAGGGGAGGGGGGAGGAACACAAATAGTTCAAAGCTCTGGCCAGGTTCCAGCCGGGCAGGGGTCTGGTCTCCTCACTCTGGGAGAGCCGACAAGCACAGGGGTTTTGCCCCATGGGGGAACCTGCCACCCAAAGGGAGAGGTGGCGGGGGGGGGATGGAGGCAGGCCTGTCCTCTCCACTGCATCCTGGCCCAGGGCCCTGATAGTGGTGGCCTTGCAGCCACTAGGTCGGCGGAGCTCTGGACTGTTACATGCCGACAGGGTCAAGGGTCAGTGGGGGTCTTGGCCGCAACGTGCTGCCCACCCAGCCTCCATGTCCTCAGCCAGCCCGAGGTCGGCTGCCTCTGGTCCACGTTCCAATCCCTCCTGTGGGCCTGGCAGACTGCAGCACTGCTCCGGGGGTCCTCAGGCGACGGAGGGACTGGCAGGGTGTCCATGGACTTCAGCTCAGGCAGGGGTCCTGGTGGGCCAGTCCACACGTTAGTGCCCGGCGAGGGTCCCAGAGGGGTTGGGGTGAGTTCAGGTGGCGGTCGGTGTCTCAGCAGCCACCTAACTGTGGCCACACCTGCACAGACCAGGGACAGGGACAGGTTGGGAGGGGCAGGACGAGCTGTTCTCAGTGGCTCTGTCCCAGCTCTGCTTTCCAGGGTGCAGGCTGGTCTCAGACACTCCTGCGGCGGTGCCCAGACCAGGCCTGTTCAGGTGGTTGGCTGGGCTCTGGGGACACCCAGAGAATTGGCACCAGGACTGGCCGTGGCAGAGACCTGAGCCTTTCCATGGAGGCAGACCTAAGGGAGATGGAACCGTGGTCTGATGCCTGACACTGAATCGCTCCCCCCTAGGCAGGGGCCTCCCACTCCACCCCTGACTTCACCAGCCCCAAGGACCCTGTTTGCCTGCTGGGGCTGAAATCCCTGTGACCTTTGAGCCACCTTTGGGGGACTGGTAAATATTTGAAGCTAAACCAGCCAGGGGCAGTGACCTGGGGCCGGATCTCTGCAGCCCCGGCGCTGACACAGGGCCAAGGCACGTAGGCTGCAGCCCCATTGTGTAGGTGTTTGCCCTCTCCCCTCCCCTTGTCCTCAACCCCACTCACTCCCTTGGGTTTTCTTCTAAGAGTCTCCCTCCGGGACCCAGCCTGTTCCCGGCCAATGGGAGCTGCAGGGTGGTGAAATACTGGAATGGGTTACCTGGGGAGAGGGTGGAATCTCCATCTCTAAAGGTTTTTAAGTCCTGGCTTGACAAAGCCCTGGCTGAGATGTCCTGCTCTGGACAGGGGCTGGACTCGATGACCTCCTGAGGTCTCTTCCAGCTCTAGGATTGTGTAATTCTATGATATTAGAAATATTACTGCTCTGGACTTAGTCGACACATTACAAATGTGCCCCAGTCAGGATCACTAGTACCTAGGCTACTGTTCATTTTCAGTTCTATGATCAATTCCTCTGTATCTCTCCAGGTGAGGGCTAGTGTAGAATACTCCCATGGCGGGTGCAACTCTTTTGAGTTAAGAAATTGTCATCTATAAGAAATTCCAAGGGCCTTTTTATACGAGCAGCATCAGACTGCCAGAAGGTGTCGCACATGTTGAATCGGGATCACACAGCTTTTTACCTTTGTTTTATAAACAGCTGCCTGAGGAGCTGCTCATCCTGCTCCTTTGTGTGACTTAGTGTTACCCCGGCTAGTGTGTATCAGTTAGGACACTGCCCCATAACCATTCAAGGTCATTTTCATCCCAGATCTCAATGACTCGGGAACACGGCGGACTCTCTGCTGAACAGGTCCAGACAGCAGGGGTCCCTACTTTAGAACCCGGCCAGCGTGGCATGGATTTCCATGGCAATGGCAAAAAACATTTCTCTTTCCCGAGCACAATCCCCTGCCAAACTTTCAGTGCTAGAGCTCTTCAAAAACTGCTCAGTAAAATGGACAGTCCAGAAAAAGCCAACTGTGCTGAGCTTGTGCACATTGTGCATGCACACCCATCGCACACCCGCCCCCTTCGGAGACCGAACGGGGGGGGAAGGCAGTCTTCACCCTTGAGTTCTGGTAGGGGGTTTGTTGATACATGATTTCATTGTTCTACCGCGTTACAATCTAATGTTATGACCCTGTTTAGTAACTGGGGCCACGCGCTGGAGTCTGTGACCCGACCTAGGAATCCTGTCGGATCTCCTCAGGCGCTGGGCGCTCAGGGACCGGCCCAAACCGGATTTTCCCGCCAAGCGGTCACGAGGGTTCCGCTCCCCTCAGACCCCCCCGGCGGCGTTACAAGGGCTGCGTTGCCTCAGCCTGGGGGCTGTCTGCCCTAGTGGCTGGAGTACGCGGGCCCCTCTGCTCTGCCACCTGCCAGCGAGGGGCAGCCCCAGCCACGCCTGCCGTGGAGGAAGGGGATTTTCCCATCCCTCACCCCCACACAACCTGCTTGTACCAGCCTGCGACTCCCGTCAGGACTTGTGGGGCTCCCCAGTGCTCTCCAGGGGCTCTAAATCAGCCTGAGGGTTAACGTCCTGGGCGCCTCCCCCAGCGCCACTGCCACGTCCTCAGGAGAGAAGGGGCCTGGCCCTTAGGGCTTTACTCACCGAGCCAAAGGGTTTGAATTACTGGGTCTGGGTTCAAGCCCCTGGTTGTTGCTGACACTGTCACGTGATTGGTTTGATGCTTGTTTTATCTGCATCAGGTTCTCCTCCCCATTTCCCCCTTTGTAATCAATCCCTGAATAGCCTCTTACTTGGTTTGCAGCTGAACATCCCCTCCTCTCTCTTCATTGCACCTGCACAGGAGAGAGGGGAAGGCGGAGACAGGAGCTACTGCAGCTCTAAAACAATTCCTGGGTGATAGACCCTGATGGGAGTGGGGGGAGGACAAGCCTGTACTTGTGGGAAGGATCCCGAGTGGCATTCTGGACTGTGTTTGCCTCCTACACCTTTGGGGTCACAGGCATTATCTGCAAATAGCCTTTCGTTAAGTCAATGGTCAATAGATACGTTCACCCTCCTCCTCAGGCATCCCAGGAGTTCTTCAGTGTGTGGCATTGGATCTGCTTTGCACCAGGATATCGCATTAACCTGACAGAAATTGATACAGAAATGCAAAGTGCCATTGGGTTTTGGTACCAAGATAATTAGATTCCTCCGTTCACTCTGTGACTCTTCAGTTACTCCCAACTTCAGCATTGCATTGAGTTCATGTCAGACGGCCATCCACATCTTCTGTGGGAGGGGGTGGTGAATGTCCCTCACTTTCTGCCC